AGCAAGTTTTTGTTAATTAAAACAAGATTACGCAAATCAAAACCGCCGTAATTCGGAAAATTCTGTTCTCATTTCCCGGAAATCGAAATCCTTCGAACTCGTCGCCGACACTGGATTTTTTTTTTTTTTTTTCTCCTTTCCCAGAAAGAGTTTGAAGTAACTTTTCCGCAATATAAAACAAAGGTGGTAATTTTACGAATTTAGAGTGGCATTCCGGTCAATTAAGGAAAGAGTAGGAAAATCTAAGGGATCCAGGGAAAACGAAAGATCAAAGAAAGTGAAATGAAGCAGGAAAAGGAGGAGGAAAAGGAGGAGGAAAAGGTAAAAAAAGCAGTGTCTTTAGTGGCGAACCCATTTACTAACTACCATTTATATATTCAATGCTGATTCGACTGTAATTTGCCCTGCATGCTAAGTTAATTAGCTCAGCAAAGCATGGTTTTTTTATTAAACATGCCCGCCTTTTCGACTTTCCCTTTCCCATGTGACTTTCATTCTCTATACACAGTATAAATCTCCACTCACTTCTATGGTGGTGATATATCAAACCCCAATTCATGAGATGAGAGGAAAACAGTGAAAGTTTTTCCCTTTTTCTCTCTTTCTCTTAACTGTAGATGTATCTTCTTCTGGGTGTCCAAGTTTTGGGTAGAAAGCGAACCAAACTTGAAGAATGAATTCTCTGCTCTTGGGTTTCTTTCGGTGAGAGGAGGGAAACCGGAAATGAAGAAGATTGTGTCTTTTGGATCTTCCATTTTCTTGTTTTTCGTTTTTTTCTGTTCTTTGAGGTCTGTATCTGCCCTGCATCAGAATGGGCCCGCCAGAGATCATATGAAGTTTATTTTAGGTTAGAGTTGACAGTTCTGGGTTGATATCTAAATCTAATAATATAATTGGATATAGCCGGAGATAATGATGTTTATCTTTGTTTTTGTTATCTGGGTTTCGTCTAATGTGGTAATGTGTTGGGTTTTCCAATATTGTTCTGTTTTGTTGCCGAGGAAAGAAATTAGGACAGGGAAAGAAAACAGAAAACTAAATACTGCCTTATTTTGGGGTTTCAGAAATGTGAGATTTTTAGCTGATGGTGAATACAAATTGTTCAATGTTGGTTTCCAAAGATCTGATTCTTTTTTTTTTAATACTTTTTGAACAATCATTGTTTCTGATAATCTATATAGTTAAGAGAGAGATAAAAAAAAAAAGGATTTTCCCCTGCTTTTGACCATGTGAGATTGTTTCTCATGTTAGGCTCAATTCTGAGATTTTTGTTGGGTATGCAGGAGAGGAGAATATAGGTGTTGGTCCATGGAAGAATGAAATCTCTGAGGCTGCAGAAGCACCGGGGCCTTCAAATGATGGGTCTGCAAGCACGCTGGTGTTGGCAGCAAACAGGACAGAAAGACCAGATGTTCTTAGTGGTTTCAGGCGATATCTTGGTGGTTGGGATATTAACAACCGGCATTACTGGGCTGTAAGTCTTTGCTTCTGTCTAATATCTAATGGATTCTGATCGATCTGTTTTGTATGTGATTACGAGAGAGCTGAGTTATTCAAGGTAGATATGGGCACTAAATCTCATATTTGAGTTTATGTGCGTGTGCTAGGGTGCTGAGGTTGGATTTATAATTCAATTAGATTGGAAATATATGTAAAGATAATGATCTAGAATATATATTTTATATCTGCTGATCTGGCTGATTGGATACATAGGATCATGTTGTTGTAAAGCGTAACTTCCCATTCAGTGTGGATGTTTCAGAATACTTCTTGTATTCAGAGGCTGAATTCCTCTTTGCCTTTTCTTCTTTTTGACTTCCAAGTTTTTGCATTAGCATATCTTTATCAGTGTTTTGACTATCTCTCTACAGTCTGTTGGATTTACAGGTGCTGCAGGATTCATTCTTGCTGTCCTTTGGTTTGTTTCTTTTGGCTTTGTTCTTGCCATGCATTATTGCTGTGGATGGAGAATAAACATCAAGAAGGAAGGAGCACATTATTCACAAAGGATTTGTCTTATAATGCTTATACTGTTCACCTGCGTTGCAGCGTAATTATCTGAACTTAATAACGTTTACTACTGTAATTATAAGCTTTTATTGGTAGAGTTTTTAGGTCTTATGTACTTCTTAATTTTTTATAGTTCTATATATTATATTACTTAAAAGATCATTAATGTTCTTTCTCTAGCATGCATAATTTATGTTCTTCCTTCTAACCCCTACCTTTTTCCCTCAAACAAACAGGATTGGATGTATTCTTCTTTCAGTTGGGCAGGGTAAATTTCATGGTTCTGTGCTTCATACATTAGAGTATGTTGTGAACCAGTCAGACTACACAGTGCAAACCTTGAAAAATGTAACAGGGTACCTGTCACTGGCAAAGACTATCAATGTGGCTCAAGTTTTCATTCCTTCTGATGTCATGAATAATATTGACAAATTGAACATAGATCTGAATACTGCAGCAGATACACTTATGGAGAAGACAAATGAAAATGCTTTAGAAATAAAAAAAGTCTTCAATGTTGTGTATGTGAATATTAATCTTTTATTACCTCCTCAATTGATAATTGTTATTATAAATCTAAGCACTAATTATTTCATTTTACTTTTGTTCAGACGATTGGCATTGATCACTGTTGCAGCAGTGATGCTTGTATTGTCTCTTGTTGGTCTCTGTAAGTGTCATGGAAATATTTTGACCAACATCTGATAGATTCTGTTCTTTGGTTGTTTCTTATTCTAATATCTACTTAGTGTTGCCTGCCTGAAACTAAATGGCTTATTTTGTCACAGTGTTGTCTATCCTTGGGCACCAACATGCCATTCATATGTAAGTTCAAGCTTTTGTTGGTAAATTCTGCTTAAAGCAATGATTCACCATTTCATATTTCTGTTTCTAACGCCACCAGCATATTGTTGCAGATTCGTAGTGAGTGGATGGATGCTAGTGGCTGTTACATTCATTCTGTGTGGAGTTTTTGTTATCTTCAACAAGTAAGATTGTTTTGGATCCTTGATTAAGATATTTCTTATCTATTCCCCCACTGGTTTGCCTTTTTAATTTACGGAAAAGTAATATCATGTTCAACATCCAACAACTATATTTGCATGCTCGTAGAAAATCTAAATTCAGTGCATTTACATCTCCCCTTTGTATGCGATGCTTGAGATTTTTTTTTTTTTTTTCCTAACTTGCTTTTGTAGCCTTTGGTTCTTTGCTTATGTTGCTTTGGTTCCTATGCCATTTCCTAATTCCAGTATCTTTGTTAATTTCCTGTACCTTACACGAATACCTCACAAAACTTGCCTCCGTTATCATTGAGTTGTTACTCAAACCATCATATAGGCTCTTCATTTTATTCTACATCTTGCATTTTCTGCTTTCTTTTGATCTTACTACTGTCACTCTTGATGAAAGTGTAATCTCTTTTTGGTATTTCAGTGCAATCTCAGACACCTGTATGGCCATGGAAGAATGGGTTGAAAATCCCCAAGCAGAGACTGCTCTTGGCAACATCCTACCATGTGTTGATCAGAGAACGACAAACCATACACTGATTCAGAGTAAACAAGTCATCAATGATATAGTAAATTTAGTCAATACATACATATATAACATTGCCAACTCAGATCATTCGCGGGATGATACTGTCCGATTTTATAATCAGTCTGGGCCCCCAATGCCTCGTTTATGTTATCCATTTGACTCTCAGCTACAAGATCGTGAGTGTACCTCTCAAGAGGTGTCTATGGCAAATGCTTCACTGGTATGTCTCAGCCCATTCTATCTATCTCCATATTAACTGAAATCTAGCATGCCTCCTCTAGTCTTTGTTCAGTAGGAATGCCTGATCAGGCATACAACAAAGATTAAGGAAGAATGAATGTTATTCTTCAAGTATGGAAGGATGATTTCTTGTGCCACTTATTCATGATTAGTGATCATAGTGAGCAAATTTGTTTACCTTTAAAATTTACAGGTTTGGATGGATTACGTGTGCAAGGTATCAGAATCTGGGCTATGCATCACCACAGGAAGAGTAACGCCAGACAGATATAGCCAGTTGGTGGCAGCAGTGAATGAGAGCTATGCTCTTGATCACTATGCCCCACCTTTGCTTAGCTTCCAAGATTGCAATTTCGTAAGGGAGACATTTGAAAATATCACCTCAGATTATTGCCCTCCATTGGAGCACTACCTTAAGGTAGTGATTGCAGGACTGGGTCTGATCTCGGGTGGAGTCTTGCTGTGTCTCGTTCTCTGGATACTATATGCAAACCGCCCCCAAAGGGAGGAAGTGTTTGTGAAGCTATCTTTTCCAATAAAATGCTGGAGTCAGAAGAAGAATTCAGCTACAAATGGAAACGAGAACATTTTATCAAACACATCAACCGCAGTCTAGATGATGTGATTTTATCATTCATTTTACTGTTACCCCGATTTGGGGAAGGAAGCCAAGATGGGGCGAAGCTCCGTTTTGAGTTTAATTAGTGGTAGTAGTGCATTTCTATTGTACTTTTACCTCATGTATAATATAGCTAGTATATGCAAATCAATTATCAGCTTGTGGTGGTGCATTCTGCTGTTTTAATACTGTATGGGAAAAGAAACAGAAACAGAATGTTTTTAAGTCACACCTCAGAAGTTCAGGATTCCAGCAATATGAGACGATGCCTAAAAACTAAAATTCCTTTGTTCAGGGTTGAAAACAGCCCTTCCTAAATCAAAGATTGGATTCTGTTAAGTAAGGTAGTATAAGCTAAATAGAGGGCACTAAATAATTTTCCAAATTCCAATGAAAATCAAAAGGGACTAGTCTCTCCATATTCTTTTCCATTAAATTGAATTGTGATCATATATATATACATTATATTTATATAAAATTTTAATCATTTATTTTTTTATTTTTAGTTATTAAAAATTATTTATTATTTATTATATTTATTAAAAATAATTATTTTTTATTTTAAAAAATGATAAATCTTAATTATTAAAAAAAATAAATAAATGATTAAGATTTTATATAAATATAATTTGTAAAACTTGTATATAAGTAAATATTTACCTATGTGTATATATATATATATATTTATGGTGGCAATACATTTTGTTGATCACCAACAAGTCAGGCAGGCAATCATCAATTCAGCTATCAAGTTATCCAGAGTGTTGAGGTTCATCACCTTTGTCTTGACTATTGCAGTAGCAATAATTCAGGCAGGCATAGCTGGCAATTCATGGAGCCTGAATAGAGATGTGGTGTATAGCGTGAAGAAGGAGAAGGTACCAGCACGCTATAAACATATGCTGTACATTTAATTCAGTGGAATAAATATCTTTTATGTAAGTAATTATCAGGAAAATGCATGCACATATCTTATATATGGTTTCTCAATTACGAATAACTGTGGTACCCCAACCGTATCGGCAAATTCTTTACTTTATCAGCTGTGTGATTTCAAATTTTTTGGACTGGAGGTTTAAGTAGTTTAATTGAGTTAGGGGCAGGTGCCAACAGAAGCATTACTAAATTAATTAAGAGAGGAAAAAAAAAACACACACACACACGCACCCACAAGAAGCAGAGTAAGCAACAAGCAAAGAATCTCAACAAAAACTGGTATCCCAGTCCAGGCGTACGTGCCATGATTCTGTCCACTTGACTTAACTAGCTCTATAGGGTCTACCGTCAAAGGTCTAAATTGGACACCCAAAACGCTCCCATTTGATTTCTTCTTCATATATATATATATATATATATGGAGAAACTTACCCAATTGCATCCAATTGCAAGGTTTCAGTGTTTGTCCTTTTGTTTTGAGTGTTTGGTAGAGTCCCTCTTTTCATTAAAAAATTTCAAAGAAGACGGCATTCTAATCATCTTATTTTATAATACCATAAAATGGTTTTCCTCCCATAAACTTTGAACTTTATTTATATGATTTTTTTTATTTTAATGATTGTACCTTTATATGGGAAATGGGATTTTACAATGTGTTAGGGAAAATAATAAAATATACTAATAAAAATTAAGTAATGATAAGAAAAATAAAAATTTAGAACTAATGAAATGATATAAATTATATTATTAAATTAGTTAAATACATATAACATTATAAATTTTAAAAAATAAAATGAATTAGTTATTAAATAATATAAGATCTATTTTTTAATATTTTAAATAATATGATTTATGTCACATTATTGATTTAAAATTTTGATCTCATTTTATCATTATTATAAAAATTTGATCGAGTTAATAATTATTAATTTAAATTTTTAATTTAAAATTAAAGTTAAATAATTAATTCTCTATACTACTAAATATATAACCCTCCAATGTATTGGAAAAAAAAGGGGAGAAATAATAAATATCATCATCATCCATCACAAGCCAAGGTGTGAAGTAATGTAATTGAGCGGTAAGGTCTTGCCATCTATTCAGGCAAACGCTGCAACTTGCAATTAAAACACACCAATTTTGAAGTGGATGATGTACCTTTTCTTCAAAAGCAAGTGGATAATTCACTTAGGTTGTGTTTGTAACATAAATTTGAATTTAATGTATGTATTTTAAATACATATATTTAATATATAAAATTTAAATATATATTATAAATATTTAATAAAATATACAATTTAAATAAATTAAACTACTAGTGCCTGGTATTTCGGATCAATTGACAGCTTGTCAGCTTGAAATGTATTTCTCCTCTCTCTCATGAGTAAGTTTCGAGTCCGTCATTCGATAACTTATTCAAAAAAAAAAGAAACTACTATAAAATTAAAATTGATTTGATATTAATCTCTTTTATTAAGATATTGTTTCAAATACTTGATAAACAATCCCAATAGATATTTTTATCATCGCTCATGACAGCCCGGGATGAACTTTGCTACCCCATCATCATTACCCACTCTCAGAAACTAAAAGATACAAGATTGTTGTCATCGTGGGTGCTATGAGCTATGAGAAGTCCTGCCTTTTCTTTGACTTGGCCACTACCTACTCTGTCCACTCTCAAGTCATCAACTCAAAAAATACAAGTTTATAGAGGTCTCGATATTATCACCAATAAACTACCTCTTCATAAGTGACTCGATCGTTGGAGTTTTATCATAAAAAAGTTATTTTATTGTAAAGAAAGATGTAGAGAATAAGCAAAAATTTTGAAATTTTCTATTAAATTCATGGGCGTGAGATGATATTTAAAATGTATGTTATTTCTTATCAAAAAAAAAAAATGTATGTTATTTAATTTTTGAAATACACAGATTAAAATACATATATTTAAATATATTTATATTTTATAAAAATAAATAGCATACTTGATTTTATAACCCCAAATTCAAATACACTCCTCTTAAATTCACCTTTCCAAACAGAGTATTAATCAATTCAGTTGATTGGTTAAGTGTAATGTTATAGGAATAATTTTTTTACATCATCTTTTGATACAATTTTTATGTGTTATTAAATAAATAGATGTATTTAATATCATAGATCTCATATAAATAAAAGAATTAATTATTTAAATAATATATCGAATTATATCAAAAAATAATAAAAAAATTATACCAAAATAATTTCCCATTTTTTAAAGCCTAGCAAAACTTAGTAGGGACTAAATTTTTGTAACAATAATGTTACTGTACTAATCATGTTGAGTTAAAATTCTTGAAT